CCCCAAGATTTGTACAAAATCGGAAATCTTTTATAACGAGTAGATGTTTTTATGCCCCCATCAACACAATTTAGATCATTTAGGAGGTGGGATTCCAAAGCTGCAACATTCCAGCAGAAAGATCAAGATACTAAAAAATTTCTCCCCACTCAGGGTTGTGTGCGAAAGTGAAGCACTTTCCATTACACCACAGACACCACTCAAAATCTAAGTGAGGAAATGAAGCACTGGTTTAAGAAAATTTCCAAGTAGTCTTACCTGTGAATTGCTCGGAGATTCTCTTGAAGAGTTCCTGAATGGCGGTGCTGTTGCCAATGAAAGTGGCGGACATCTTCAGGCCTCTGGGTGGGATGTCACAGACGGCTGTCTTCACGTTGTTAGGGATCCATTCCACGAAGTATGAGGAGTTCTTGTTCTGTACATTCAACATTTGCTCATCCACTTCCTTCATGGACATGCGGCCACGGAAAATCGCAGCCACTGTGAGGTAACGGCCGTGGCGTGGGTCGCAGGCGGCCATCATGTTTTTGGCATCGAACATCTGTTGCGTCAGCTCTGGCACTGTCAGGGCACGGTACTGTTGGGAGCCTCTGGATGTGAGTGGGGCAAAGCCAGGCATGAAGAAGTGGAGACGGGGGAAAGGCACCATGTTCACTGCCAGCTTTCTCAAGTCTGCATTGAGCTGGCCAGGGAAGCGGAGACAGGTGGTCACTCCGGACATGGTGGCACTGACTAGATGGTTGAGGTCACCGTATGTGGGGGTGGTCAGTTTGAGGGTGCGGAAGCAGATGTCGTACAAAGCTTCGTTGTCGATACAGTATGTCTCGTCTGTGTTTTCTACAAGCTGATGGACGGACAGTGTGGCATTGTATGGTTCTACCACTGTGTCGGAGACCTAAGAAAGAAAATAAAAAAGACATTTATGTAATGTAAACCAAAAGAATTCTGCTAAATATATTTTTTATTTATTTCATCTTTTAAATTGTTTTTAGGCACTAAACTTGTAACAATAAGGTCATACAAGTGCTGAAGATTAGAGGTGTTAAAAAAGAAAGATAAAGAAAACCACAAAACTTATTAAAATGAAATAACATACCGGTAATACCCTAATGAAGGTTGAAAAAAGGAAAAGAAATGAAAAAAGATGTAGTGCCATTTAACTCTGGAAGAGAAAATCAAAGTAAATTAAAATAAATTTAAAATGTTATGTGCAAGTTATTCTTTGTATCCTGTGCCTCAATGCCTTCAATCTTTTTCCCAATGAAAGCAAGAAGTTCAAGGAGTTCTTCGATTTATGTGTCCCAGGAACAGCATTTCACGCTTCATAATTGATGAAAATGTAATTTTTAAAAGGGGGATCTCGTGGCCTAGAGGTTAAAGTGTTCGCCTTTCATTCAAGGTGCTGGGTTTGAATCTGGGTAAAGCAAAGTTGTTCCCGCATCCGATCCGAACATTGGGGAGTGTCTTGTTAGTCAGACAGCTTCCCGGACCTCCGACATATTGAGGTAGGGTGGCCAGTTCCTTTCCATGCCGCCTTTACTTCCCCAACTTTAAGTCAGGGTAGTGACGGAAAAATTTCATCTCTAAAATTGCCATATATATGACCATATGCAGTTGCCAGCGCCGTAAAACACACACGAGGGAATGAAAAAGATGAAGTTGAAAAAGAATATAAATGAGAATATTTACACTACGTAAATGGTTTCAAGATCAATAGAACATTTGGGTAAGAATTCTACTTGAAATGAGAACTCCTGAGGATAAACCAAGAGGGTTACAGCTACATCGCCTATTTCAAATCAGCAGAATAGAGGCTAACACTAAGAATGAAAACTGGGGGGACATACATGTCAGGACGCGGTGGAAGGTGGAATCAGGAGCTCGTCAATTTCTGGGCATGTGGAGTTATTGATATCATCTTACAGCTTGTTCATTTGTGTAACTTTTGATGAAAATTTTACCCACCTACCTAGAATAAAAGTCGAGATATTTGTGATTGAAAGAGGTTGGAGTTGCTTGGTTTCAGAGGTAAAATTAGCGAGAAAATGGCCGCCAAAGACTGGCGTCTTCCATAGCTTGAGACCATGAAAACTGAAAATTTACATTTTTTGCGCCTTTAATCAAGTTTTCAGAAAAATCAACACAGAAAGGTTTTAAATGGACATGAAAAGTGTTGAGCCAAAAATATAATTTCAAGAGAAAAAAAAAATTTCACCGCCCAGAAAAATGCAGTTTAAATTTATTTCAATTTGTTGACGAGCACCTGATTTCACCACGACGCCTTACACACATATATATTTATGTCAAGACCATGTCCAATGGGACCCTCATCCTGGCAGTAGGAGGGTTCAGCAGGTTGGATACTTACTTTTGGAGAGGGGACAACGGAGAAGGTGTTCATGATTCTGTCTGGGTACTCCTCCCTCATTTTGCTGATGAGCAATGTGCCCATACCTGACCCGGTACCACCACCCAAGGAGTGTGTCAATTGGAATCCCTGAAAAAAACAAACAAAAAAAACAAGATATACATGTATTGCAGTATAAACAATAAATAAAGCATCGTAAACAAATACGAAAGTATTACATCAATAAATATTACGAACATATTGGATTATAAACAATAAATACATGTATTGCATTAATAAACAATAACGCACAAAAGCATGACATCAAATGGTTCAATAATTTCCAGTGACACCTGTTAAAGTCCCCATATAACAAGATGTAAAACAAAAGACCTATAATTCAACTTTTACAATGTCTGTTGCATGATATGGCAATTTCACAAGGTTCCAAAATTTCATCCCATCCAAATACCGAGGTATCTATCCCAGGCACATCTTTAGTCTTTACAGTGCACCAACATTTTTTTTGGAAATTAATTTTAACAACCCCTGTCAAACCTAACAAAACCAAGAAAGAACCTTAGACTACACTGGCAAAGTGCTCACCTGCAGACAATCACAATTTTCAGACTCTTTCCTGACGACATCCATCACGGAGTCCACGAGTTCAGCTCCCTCTGTGTAATGACCCTTTGCCCAGTTGTTTCCTGCACCTGACTGACCAAACACAAAGTTGTCTGGGCGAAAGATTTGTCCAAATGGTCCTGAACGCACACTGTCCATGGTCCCTGGCTCAAGATCCACAAGCACTGCACGAGGCACATATTTGCCTCCTGTCAAGAAAAAAAAAGGTATAATTAGCCTAATGAGAGAAACGAAAACGATTGGGAACCAAATATTAAATCTCCACGAAAACTATCTTTGATCAAGAATGAAAACAAATTGTTGACAAAGGCTATAATTATAATTATATTATAATTCCTTTGCAGAATTTCCAAGTAGGCCTATACACCATACTACAACAGACAAAATGACTTCGCCTTCAATAGACCTGAAGATTTGACTTTCAAGCTGACAGACATGGGGAGAATGACGGTGATCTTATACTTTAGCACGTTAAATTCTTCAATTGATTTTATCTAGATCTTAGTTATCGTAGGCTAGAGGTCTATCTATCTATTTACATCTGTCCCGCCACACACACATAAGGGCGTGCGCGAGCGGACCTCTAGCCTACGATAGCTTAGATATAAATCAACGGAAGAATTTAATGTGTTAGAAAAGATCACCAGAAAGACTACCAAGAAAACTAATTGAAATTAACATACAGACCAGACACTTTTCATAAAAGCCTGAAAATTTTACCAACCTGTGGCTTCATTGTAGTACACATTGATCCTCTCTAATTGCAGATCAGTGTCTCCGTGGTATGTGCCTGTTGGGTCAATGCCATGTTCATCAGAAATCACTTCCCAGAACTGAAATGAAAATAAAATAAATTCTAAATCAGCATGTCATGACATTAACCTTGTAATACGGGAGTCTAGGCTACCTGTCCATGAAGAAATTAACTGCATTATGTTTGGCTACAATTTTAACCTAGGACAGTCTGTGATCTAGATCTAAATCTTAAGCATAAAAAGGTTAGGCCGGAAGGACTCCCATAACGAGCGACCACCCCAACATACATTAAAATTAAAGAAGGGGAGTGAATACAGACCTGGTAACCGGGAACAAAGTCACGAGTATAGAGACCCGGTAGGGGGAATCTTTTGTGAATCGAAGTGGCTAGCCGTACTTAGATCTAGGTTTGGCCCAATTGACTCAAGCCTGTTAAGTATACAGGTCTCATTAGATCTAGATCTAGTAATTATTCA